CAATAGTGTTTGAAATTCAGTAAAAATAATAATATAACAATGTGTATATGTGCTTGTTATTTGTAAAAGTGTTTTGATTATATTATAACGAAAGTCTACGAAATGAATAAATAAAATTATTTATGTAATTCGATAATAAAAATAATAAAATAACTAAATTACAATGTTTTATTTTTTAAACTGATAAAAAAAATATATTACCTCAGTATATTTAATTGTATAATATGTTATAGACTTTTTTTTTTTTTTTGTGATAATTGATAAAACGTTCACACTATAAACTAATTTCGCATTTTTTCAGTTAAAATAAACAACATTAAAGAACCTGAATTTAAGTTGTTCGAATAGTAATATATAGTATTATTATATTTATTATTTACTCACTTCACACTTTTATTTATCAATTTATTTTAACTTCGCTTAATACTGATGAATTTTGCAAGACTTTTAGTTTCATACTCTCACAGACGAATAAAATTAAGTAAAGTTAATTTTATCTCTGACTAAATAGAAAACTTTAGGAATTTACATAAAAACTATAAGTTTTACTTTTGTTTGTGTTCTTCAACGTAAAAACAAAAATCGTAGAGTCAACTTGACCAAAATTTGTGGCCCGATCCATTCATTTGTTCTTTTTTTAAGTTTATAATCAAACGTCTAAAGAAGAATGTAATTATTTTTTTTTGACTAATTACAAAAGTTTAAAATTTAACCAACAGTAGATTGAAAATATCATTGGGGACACCTTACAATTTTCCGAAATTAATATTATGCACAATATATTAATATTTAATACATAATAAATCAAAAATAGTTTTTTAACCTTATATTAAATGAAAAACTTTTTTTTTTTGTAGATTATAATAATGGTTTCATACAATAAAATTAGTTTTAATTCAATTTATCGATGCATTTTATGCTTACAGAAAGACAATACATTTATTAGTGTTGTCTACTACTTTGTTTCATTAATTATTTTTTCATTTCTTTTGCATAGAACTTTTTTTTTATCTGATCATAATTTTAATTTAAAAATGTGATTTTTATCTTTTTATCTAGTTTTTTTAAGTATTTAACAATTGGAAATAATATTTTAATATAACCTATTTATTATTATAAGTTATAACTTTGACATATTTTGAGTTATTTTGTTGTATTTAATTCAAAAAACAATATTTGTAAATATTTAAAAAATGTTTTATAATATAATCACTGAGATAATTTTTAGAAGTATATTGTTAAAAACATACTCCATATTGTATTAAAATTAACCTACCGATGATAATATTATGACTCTATGGTTATCCTTCACGGAGTAACATAATGTGTGACGAATACACAATACGTGGTTTATGCATCCTGTCAGGCTTTTAGTATATATTTTTGTTTACTCTTTATAAAACAAAAACAATTCATTACAGCAATTATTTTTACTTTATGTGTGCATTTCCTAACAATAATAATTATATACTTATTATTATTTAAATTATGTGTAAGCTGTTGTTTTGGATGAAAATTTGACCATCTTAATATCTCAATACCCGGCGAAGAAGATTTAATTGGTGAAAAGTGTTAAACTATCATATTATATAATGCATTCTTTTCATATTTCATGCGATTGGAATCTTTAAAAAACACACTCACAATACCGAATAAAGTGAAATAATGTATTTCAACAAGATTTTAATTAATTACATTACCAACTTCAGCTAAGCTTGACATCAATTTTCAGACATGGATGAGCATCGTGAATCTAGGAACCTAAAATCATGCTAGAATTCACATAAATATATTTACTTTTTTGTAAGGTCATATTAAACATCAATTAGAAAACTCAAAACAAACAAATCTGTGTAATATAAAAACATAATGTTATATTTTAAAATATAATAATCCTATGTTGCCTAAACATTACGCCGTGTTAAAATTTACCAATTACGGTTTTAAAAATCGCACGATATAATATTGTGAGGAATATTAAAAACTCAAATAGTATCAAGGTTTTTTTATTTATTAATATTTTTGTTCTTACAAGGTTTTAATAAATAATGTTAAGTTTAAAGTTGCGGTTTACATTTACACGTTATTTTTGAATATATAGATAGTAAAAGATATATATAATTTGATAATTCCTTATGTATTGTACCTGTGTACCTATATGTTATAAAATAATTATAAATAAATATAAATATAAAATATAAGCTGTAATTTTAAGGTAGTGAATGTGTATTTATGTTTGTTCTGATTCAGACTCAGATGATCCTGATATTGGTTCTTCAGATAAGAAGATATCTTGTGGGAGACGAAGTTTCAGTCTGGAGTATTTTGTTCGTTTGCCGATTTCGTAATGAACGGCTCCTTTAACTGATTTTAGTTGGTGGAATTTTTTGTATTGGTCTTGGATCCATTTATCTAGTTAAGGGATTCCAGTGTCATTATGAAGCTGTTTGTTGCGCATAAACCATGGTGATTTAAGGGCTAAGGGATTCTAAGGAATTTGTTCTGTATTGTCTGAAGTTTTTTCATTTTTGATTGGGAAACAGCAGCCCGTATAGGGCATGCGTATGTTATTAGTGTTCTTATTATCGATGTATATATTAAGAGTGCATATTTAATCTGTAGCGTAGAGCTATAATTAATTAGGGGATATAGTAGTCTCATCCTAGCGTGGGCTTGGTTTAATTTCTTGTTTATATGTGTTTTCCAGGTTAGTTTTTCATCAAGAAACACTCCGAGGTATTTGATTGCCTGATCCTTGCTATTCCATGTTATAGTTTGGTTACTTATTTTCATCTCGGTTGGGTTTGTATATATTTTGAAAGTGAAGATCTTTGCTTCGCTTAATATCAAGGTAAATGTGCATAAAATAATTTTTATTTTAAATATTACACACAACTCTTTAAAATCATTAGTGAATTAGTGAATAATTACGTATAAGTCGTATATCAATATCTTTTAAAAAAACATTTCTGAACTTAGCATTTCTAAAAAAAAAAATAATATTGTGAAAAATTAATTGCTTATATTTTAAGTTTCTATTATGTAAAAAAGTCGAGGTTATTAAAAAAAAAACAATTATTCATTAAATCATTATCATTATAATTTTCAACTTGATGATTATATGTTAACCATTTTCTAAATAATCAAAATCAATCTTATTTTAAATGTTGTTTACTCGAAGACTTAAGTTCCGATATTTACTTACCATTTCACGTTGTTATTCACAGTTAGGTACTATGACACTAATCTGTTATTCGTTTTTATGATTAGTTGTTAAATTGTTTTTTTTTTAGGTGTTCAATAGTTACACTACTACTAATTATCGGTAATAACTGTTGAACTTTAATAGTTATAACTTTCTATAAATATTTGTAGTTCATTAACGCGTCCATGTTTTGAAATAAATTAAAAGTATTAATGTAGTAATCATAGAAATTTTGTATTCAAAATCTCAGGTTATTAGAGCCCTTAGTTCACAGCATATTTTACTTTTGAATATTTTTTTTCAAAAACCATAACCTGTAAGTATGATATGTTAGCCATTTTGTATCAATAATCTCATAACCAATTATAACACAAGTTTGAATCTGTCTTATTCTAAATTTAATTCACTTCATGTGGCTCAAACTAGTAGAAGTCTGTTTGATGAGATTTAATTCTGAAGTCCAACTATTGTTTTTTTGACATTTTTTAAATTTCAATTTTATACTATTTTAAAGGTACAATTTCCTAAAATGCTGACCTCATGAATTATATCTTGGGAGAGGATACTTTATATTTTTTTCAAGTAAACTAGTAAATTAATTTAATGGAATTTTCATTAAATAATTAATGAATCATTTATATCAGCTAATTGTAATAATAAAACGTTTGTAAATCTTACAGTTCACAAAATTTTAATTAATTATATTGCACATGAAAAAATTACGTCTTAAATAAATGTATATTGTGTAATTATAACGGATATTTTATTTTTATTTTTTAACAGAAAGGAAGTATTATTTTATTTACATTTTGTTTTCTATTGTAATTAAATAAAATACAACTTAATAGCTTCGTTAAATATTTATGAATTCTTCATAGTCTGTATTTAATTAAATTAAATGAAAATAAGTTCAGTTTATCCTAATTAACAGATGTGCTTAAATTACCGAGGTTCCGTTAAACAATAAAAAAAATATTTAACGTTATTTTCTGCAATAATTATTTACAACCATCAATAATTTTGTTTTTTAGATTCTTGTCGAGCCATCTAGTGGTTACTTACTGAAACGTCTGTTTAATATTATTTCTATGTCTTAGGGATAATAGATTTATTTTTTTCATAACTTTGACTAATTAGTAATTTATTAAAAATAAAAAACATTAAATAAAATAATGTTTAAAAACTTGATTTTTTTATTAGAATTACATTTTTATCGTATTGTTTAGTTTTTACATTTAACAAATGAAAATGTTTATTTATAGTTTTCACTAATCCCATAATTTGTAATTAATACTCTATATTCAGTTTATTCTAAAAATATAACTACTACAGTATAAAACATAAAAATGATTATTGATCTTTTAATTTAAATATTATAATGATAGTATCAAACTATTTAATTATAAATCGGTTATAACACAGTGAACAAATTATAATTTAGTAACGAAAATAAGTAATTATTGGTGTTTGGCGTGAGTCGTCATACAGCATACTGATTGTCAATACGACCAATAAGTTCTTAATAAACAAATATTATTGACAAAAATACCTCAACAGTCAACATAAGACTTATTAATCGTATTTGGTGTGAATGAATTATAATATAATAAAATATTTTATACAGAATAATTATTTGGTACACATCGGTTAATTGTTACAAAATAGAAAATTACAGTAATGCTGATTTGAAATTTTTATATTATAAATAACAAAAATGAATAAATTTATAATAATATAATATATTGTAATGTATATTTATGGATTTTTAATAGTATTTATATAATATTATGTATGATCTAGTATAATTAATTTAACTAAAATTCTCTCTAAAATATAAAGCGGAGTATAATATTAAATAAATAAAAAACTGTTGATCGTCCGATTTAAAGCCAACGATGATTATTGATTGATAAGTGGATCACGGTATTACTATGATGCAGTTGTTTTACGTGTACCATCGTATCCTCAATAATAAATCGATGATAACCCTTTTCCGTCCAGAGGCTCGCTGAATTCTAGTTCAGAGTATGCGCTGGAAGAGTTTTCCGCAAATTTGATCAGACCGAACTTCTCGAATTTCGCTTTCCATGGCAAAGAAGTCGTGGCTTTCAACAGAGCATTCGCGATTTTCGATTTCAGATCTCCTGTAGAAATCAAACAACATAAACAAATTATTACCACAAAGACGTTCTGCAACTTCATTTAAAAATTTAATATTAAAAAAAAAAAAAAAAAATGTTACACACAATATGATAAGTGAGCCAAAATAAAAATTATATTGTTATAGTAGCGCGCAACATTACTATAATAACAAATCAAACCGTTTATTACCGTTTAAGTTTTTCCCGCAGACAATTGCGTACGGAGGCAGCGGCCCGATGCTTTGCAAAATGATTATGTCGTCCGAGTCTTTATGCAAAACGTTTTTGTAATTGTAAAAGGCCACCGAGTCAACGGCTGCGGCAATCACTTGTTTATCTTTCACCTTCTCCACTGTCAATAAATGATTTCCGGTCTCTGTAACACGCACGCGCACATCGATGGGCGTCATATACTATATTATAATATAAATTTATGATTCACATAATTTGTCGTAGTCTCAACTTGTAGTTATGGTTCAATGAACAAACTATGCGTAGCACGTGTATATATAGGATAATAACCACACTCCCCCCCTACTATTATTTTATAACACGTATTTTCATTGTTCTATTAAGATTATAATTGTTTGAACTGTAACTATAGACACACTAATTGAAAATAATATTTTCAAATGCTTAGATTTTTTTATACCTATAATTAACATTTTAATTGGTATCCTGCGACGAAATAAAATTCTTATATTCAATATATTAATAAGAAAACTATAATGTTTTCTATGAATTATTAATTTAATTTTTTTTTTTTTTTTATGTTAAGAATGTTAACTCTGTTTCTGAGTTATTTTATTTTGTACTAAGAAAAATGTACTTGACAATAATAGACTTAGTCTAGTACTTATAATACTCTATCATTTATTTTTTAAATTGTTAAGTTTTAGTAAATTAATATTATTAGTTACTACAATTTTAAAATCATTAAATGGCCTCTATAATTTATAAATGTATTATCATGAACTATTATCATTATTAAGCACTTAAAATTTAATAACTTAGGAATTAATAATTTTAATTTTGCTTTTTATATTATATTATTAAATTTATTTATAAAATAATGGTAATAATTTTTAATAAAACAAAGTGGTTTACATTTGGAAAAAGAAGTTCGTATCACAAATTCACTTCAGAAAACTCTTTTAATTGCATAAAAATCTTCGGATTTAAAAAAAAAAATGGTTCATAAGAATATGCGAAAATTCCTAAATCAAAACTTGAATAAATTTATTATTAAAGAGAAAAATGGGGATAAACATGATTTGTAAATCGTTCTAAATATACTTATATTTACAATGAAACCTTTGAATACTGGACATTTTCGGTCGCCAACATTTTGTCGCTGTTTGGAGGTGTCTACTATTTAAAGGTAGTGGAGGGGTAAATACAAAAATAAACAAAAACATGATACACGTATGCAAATTATTAAATATATTATTTTTATACATTAATATAATTATATGTAATATTATTTAAAACAGACTCGGTTACCAAATGAGACGACCATTTCCTACTACTGATAAGATAAGCTATAATAACATAATAATAAATAAAAATGAAAATTATACGTTATAATAAAATATAAACAGCTAATATTTACGGTAAAAATAATCAAAATCTACCTATAAAGTATCTGTTTTTTTAAGTTTCCCTTATTTAGAGGATTTTCTATAAATAAACAGTGAAGATATTTTAGTTTTCGAAAACATATCCAGTTTTTGGAGATGTCGACTATTTAGAAGATTTCGTTAAGAGAAGTTTCACTGTATACAAAAATATACGTATAATTATGGACATAATGCGTATATCAATTGGAAAAGAAAAAAATAATTTGAAATGAATATTGCATGATTGGAGTATCTAACCGTTGTGGTATTTTATACAATGCGTCTGATGTTTTAAAATTTCATGTAATGAACTGTCTTTGATTTTTTTTTCATAATAATTATTTAAGTAACTATTATATATAATAATAATCGTTATTGTGTATAATTACTCTACTCTCAAAAAACAATTAAGCAAGTAGTTATAAGTGTATTATAATAACAGGTAATGTATCGTGATAAAATATATAGACAGATACGACTTGTACTGATTATCATCCTAACGTAATATTATAGGTAATACATACTGTGAAGAGTATGCATCAAGTTTTCTAAGAAAAACACTATAAAAATAATAATAATAATCAACAACTAATTATTTTTCAGAATGACCAACCAAATAAGTAGGTTTTCTTTAGTTTCATTATGTGTAAGTACTTTTCTGTATTTCTATAAAAAAATAACAATATAAGATCAAATTTTTTAGTTAAAATTTTTCTTAAATAGAAAAATAATTATCCAATTAATAAGCCAACTATAGTGATTTGATAAACAACTTAAAAAGCTATTAATTTTCAATAAATGTTATTTAATTATTTTAAATATGTAGGTACTATACACATAAATGCATATTCTTTACTAAGATTTAATAATTTTTGTATTCATCGGTTTTTTTTCTAACTGTAAACATTTTAATTTAACTTAGTTTATTTACTAATAAAAAAATGTTTATTTTACAATTAAAATTAATTAACCACCCCTCTCCCTCCCTTAATTAGACGACTAATTATGGCCATTGTCTTTAAAAACCACGTTATAATAAAAGGATAATCGATATGAACAATTGAGTGAAAGAACCGTGCTTATAAATTAGTTTGTCATTGTCGTTGTAGGTACTTTCTATTTTAAATTAAGTGAACTTTCTATCCGAAATATTGTAAAAATAATAAAATATATTTTACATTTCTATACATAACGAAAAATAACTTTTCTCACTTTAAAATGTATTATAAGTAAATCTAATTAAAAGTATATAACATACGTTTAAGAGAAAAACACAGACAAATGTGTTTCAGAACTTTTTATACAAGACCGATATACAATGAATAATATACGAAAACAAACAATGTCGACGTTAGCATTCTTAGCAATTATTTAGCTTATATTTTAAAATAAAGGTTAAAATAAATTTTTAACTATTCTGATCTATTGATATATAACTAAATAATTAGAAACAATGTTGAAATAAAAATAAAATAAATCATATTTTTTTTAAATTTTATATGAAGACTTATAAGATAAGAAAACTTTGCGATTAAAATTATAAAAATAGTATACTTGGTTTACAGTAAAAGATAAACTGTATAAACTGTATACTTATAAATAGTGCAAATTAAGGTTGGTTTTAATTCAGTGAAATATGTTAGGATATTCATTATAAATATAGATCACATTGAAGATTATATGAGTATGTGAAACGCTTGCACACAAATATATAACTGGTTTTAAAGTAAGTTATTTTTTTTATTACCAATGACTATCTTTTTAACTTTCAATATGCATGTATGCGTGCACACATTATTTAGCGAACAGCCAATGAATTAAATTTAATTACATCATAATTTTTCATTAAACTTTTCAATGTCCAGTGCTCATGAAGTCCGGCATTTAATTTTACAAATATTTTGAGTTCCAACAAATTATCAGGTCGTACATCAAATGTCAAATGGACATTTATTATTTCATAGTGATATTTACATAGTATTACACAGTATTTTAAAGTTTTAATATTTTAAAATTTAAGCTAAAGAAATGGCAATATTTTTAAACTCAATTTATTTCACCAATGGAAAATAAAAATGTAAATAAATAGGTACATAATATTACACACATAGTTTGTCAAATAATAAAATAATAATACAAAGATCACAAAATATTTTTTCAATATTAAAGTAAATTAAAATACCATCATTGTAATTAAATACGTAAAATACAAACCTAATAAAAATATAATAGTTTTATATATTTGTGGTAGTATTTATATAGTTCCCCATAATTTTATATATTATTATATTTACTTAGTTGTTATTAATATGTTTATACGCGATTAAGGTGTGACAGACATATCCGTGTTTATTTAGATATTTCACGCAAATACTTTATATCTGATATTTTGCAATAATATATGCGTGTTTATCATTTTCTAATTAATTTCTGTTTTACTTGTCGAGCTACCTTCACTTGTTATATTTTTAGTATGAACATTGGAATGTCTTCATGTGCAATTTTTTCAGAATTTGTTTTACTGTTGAGTTAGCTGCACTGAAGTAGTCACTCTAATAATATTATTGTCGACCAAACATTGTTTTTTTATGATTATATTTTTATATATGTTGTTTTTTTTTTTATTTTATGCAAGATGAAGACATAATTTCACACATCTATTGTATAATTAAAATATTTTTAGTGTTGGATAATATATACTTATAAATGTCTAAGAATGTATTTTTTTTTTATTATTATTATTATTATTCAGTGTAAAACAAAAAAAAAATTGTGTACTTACCTACTAAATTTGACCTAAATATTTTGCACTAATAATCAATTCGAATTTTTTAAATGACAAATTGAAAACAAATAATTTGTCGCCTTAAAATTTTAACGTTTTGTCGTGTATACACATTATAAGTATTACTTTCAGCCTTCATGTTAACATGCTCCGCTGTTCCACCGATACTTAATGTGCAAAATATAATTGTAATAAAATTATAGTTACTTATCGTGTTGCCGAAAAACGACGAGTTTTCGCCATGCAACCTGAGCAACTTCTGTATGGAAACGCTACTGCTGAGTGAATTGTCTCCCGTATATCCCCAATTGCAGCCTCTCAGGTCCAGAAACGACTTAACGGTTTTCCTATATTTTCAGTTGTTTCAATGAAAAAAAAAAACAAATAAAATAGGATTATTGGCTGTGTTGATTATATTTTAATATTTCCCGCTGATATTGTGGGCTAGCTAACTCGGCATTTGTGTGCATAATGATGTCCGCGAAGTATCCTGGTTTTTGTGCCGCGTTATTGGAATGAACGAACACAGGAGTAATCGGCAGCAATTCGATTTTTTTCGACCTTTTCATCTTCAAGTACTGTGTCGGGCTTAAAAAACCTATTCACCAAAACACACGGAAGCGTTACAGTTATTTATATTATTTATGTAGGTAACACAAATTTTTACAGTATATCGGTCCTCTGATACGGTTTTAATATACGTATTAATAACTTAACGTGCACATTTTTATTCAGAGAAAGTGATGTAGTGAGTGGGTGTTATAATGTTTCGCGGACGTATAAAAATCTATTAAACACTTCAAAATAATATATTTTTTTAGTAATATTGTAGTCGGTAATCAGTATTAAAAAGTACTTATAAAATATTATTTTCATCTACGGCTGTTATACGTACTATATTTTAAACGAAAACACATCACTTTCAACAAACATTTTCTCATTATTTTGTGACTATAATTTATAAATATAATATGTTTATTTTTGTCAGCTCTCATATTTGCGGTTTATTAATTATTATACATTGAACATATAATTATTTATCGTCACAATTGTATATACTATATAGTATAATATTTAAAATTTTGATGAATGAAAATTTAAAATGATTGTATTCGCTATACACCAATCATATTATAAATTTTATACTGAGAATTTTGTTTTTGGCACATAACGCTATTAATGGATATTTTAATGAGATCATTAGTCATTTAAAATTATCGGTTAACGACGACAACAAAGATTATGGCGATGATGATGATAGCAATAATAATTTAGGAAAGAAACTGATGATTGATTTGTGTTCTCTGTCCAAGTAAGTATAAATTATGTAATTATAAAAAACATTAATATTCAATAATAAACTAATGTTTGAACAATATATAATTATCAAATTTATAAGGAGATCTTTTATGTTTATCTTATGTTTTCTTTTTATGTTAACATTGTTTTAAAATTGTTAGTTTTAATATTTTTTTAATCTATACAATATGTAAATAATTAATTTATGTTTTATAATTTTAAATTTTTTAAGTATTAAATTATTCAAAAAAAAAAAAATTAATTTTAATATCATGATATCGAAACAAAAAAAAAATAAATAAATTATAATAAATAATAACATTAATTGTAAAAATTCAAAATGTTGTAATAACTGAAATCGATGTATTATATTAATGCAACAAAATGAAAAATAATTTTTAAGATTACTTGGTTATTTTGTTTTTGCTAAGAGTGTGGAAGTTTAGAATTATAACGATACATATTTAATATTTATTAGTTACGTAAAATAGGAGATAATAACAAAAAAAAAATAAATAAATAAATAAATTAAAAGTTTAAAAATTAAATGGTTCGAAAAAAGCTAATCCCTAGTCTAACATAAGCGGCTTTGACATAAATTTATTGGTAAAACAACTAAAACGTAATTCTTCTAAAACTATTTCATTTGAAAAATCTAACTGTTTGGAATCGTGCAGACATAAAATATACAAAAAGTAGGAATGTTTTCATTACGTCATATACAAACAGATAACATTAAAATGCGTTGGTCACAACAACTCACAATGACCAAATAGAAGTTGTTTTTTCTCATCAGATATTTAAATACATTAGTTTAATGTTCAAGTTATCTTTTATAATTCAATAATAATTTATACATATCGAAAATTATCGATTTTCAATATGTATACTAACAAGATACCTTCTAATCTACCTGTATCGACCTACCAAGGTGAAACTAGCAAACGATAAACTAATGCTTGGCATAAATACATTTAATTATTATTATTACTATATTTAAACGAATAAATCACCCGGAAAATAAAGTATCCAATTATTAAAAGTTATTACTAATTCAAAACAATTTAATAGTATATAGTCCTAACTATAAAGTAAATTTTATTTAATTATGTGAAATATGCTATAAATATATTAAATTAGAAAGTGTTAAGTGTTTTTTTCTCTTAAAATTAGGTCCGAATTGCATTATAATATCGATAACAAAGTTCATAAGTTTTAAAGTTTATAACTGTTATCGCTGTTATTGTAGGTTTATTTTTGAACACTCTGAATGCACATTTATGAAACACGTGATAAACCTTGAATAATAAAACTGTATTGACACGTCTTGTTATCAATAAAACTGCGTTAAGGCATTCACTGAATAAAATAAATCAATTACTCTGTAACTAGACGTGTGTGAAAATATAATATAACAATTTCATTTTTATGCAATACAATGGTCGTTCATTCAAAAAAAAAAAAAATTTTCAAAAAAAAAATTTCCATGAGATGATAATATTACGAGAAAACGATTATGAAGCAGTAAAATATTTCATTAAAAACCAGGGTTTATGCAAAATTAAATATCACAAATTTTCGTGAACACTGTCGAATACGAAACATTTTTATCTAAACAAAGTTATATTCGTTCCATTAATAACACCGGTGAAACCTAACATCGCGCGTAAACGGCTTTTTCTGATTTAGTTAAATAATAATTGTGATAGGCAAATAATAATAAATAATATGCCATAAGAAACGAGTACATAATATGCACAACTTTACTACCTATGCATTTGCATTACTTTCAATATGAAATCTTGTTTTAATATAGATTTGAGATTGATCATACATTTATACAATATAATACTGTTATTGCCATTATAATATTCCAGTCGGTCAGCTAACAACTGACATTAAAATATAACACCTATGTTAAGTAATAGTTATTTTTGTTTTTGTACCTATGTCCACTTCTTTCAGGCAAAAAGGATCGGGACAGTCATCGTTGTACAAGCCGATGGGGTCTCTGGATTCGTAGACGAGCGTCGCGCTGACGTGCAGTTGTTCTTCCAGGAAATGGGCGATGCACTCGTACAACTCAACGGGGTGGCTGGGCACCAGGTATGTGATCAACCGCAGTGAATGCGCCATTATATTATGGTTGGTTCCGCCGTCCTATAATTTCTCGTGCAGGAGTATAATGTATTGTATAGTGTTACCGGGTTCGCGATGACCACGGAGACGGAAAATTACGGTAATTTATTATCAAAATTTTGTACCGCGAACGTGGGTAAACGGTCGGTCCGCGACTCGAGACTTTCTCGAACGGATCTCGAACAACGGTGTCGGCGGACGCGCCGGGCGAAGCGATAAGGTCGGCCCGTGGGTGGGAGAAGACCAGCCGATGAATGAAGACGGCGGCGGAAGAACCGTCTTTGGACATTGACATTCAGATAAGCCGATGCCGGTCGCAATGAACCGAATACCATTTGCCGCCGCCAGCCGTCTCCGGTGTTCTACTGTACCGTACCTACACATACGTGCGTTGATATAACTCTCGCAGGCCCAGATATAACTAGTGGAATACAACAGCTCTCGGGTGGATTTATTATTTCGGTATTTCTTATTCTAATAGATAAAAACATTGTTCACTGCTGGAGTTATTGAGAAAATCTTGTCCTAAAAAATACGCGCACGCACAATCACGTCCGCAGATTATATTATATTATATTTGACTCGTATAGCGACGGCTTAACATATTATTTCAATGTAATATAATACACTACGTAACACGGTCGTTAAAATAAAAGTGTACAAAAAAAAAAATAAAATACCAATATAGCTAATACACATTTTACGACTTAATTTTTGTTCTAATCATTATTATTAATTAACGTTATCGATCATAACAATAACGTATATTTATATATATATATATGTATAGGTAGACGCGAGACAACAATATTCGGTCATAGTTTCTATTCTGCACGGTTATTGTTCAACGATGCACGTGAAGTGTTCGAAATTTAAGTGTTTGTAATAATTGATATAAATAATAATAATCAAATTCGTATTAGAGCCTATCTGTAGGGAAATTCTTACAAAAATAGGTCATTAGAGTATTAGAATAAATACAATAAGTAAGTACATATTATTTGAACACGATAATCAAGAAATTCAAAGTCCAAGTAAATCACAAAATAACACCTCGAAATCACCTGTTCTCATCACTGGCAATCGCAAGAACTAACATATGTTTGTACAGAAATATTGTTATCAAGTTTTGTTGTAAAATAAATAGGTATGTGGTAAAGTAAACACTAATTAGACGATTAAAACACTGTGAATGCATTTAGTGAAAAAATAAAAACCATAAAACATAAAATTATTATACAATTTGACCGGTGTTCCGAAAACTAAAAAATACTTAAAAAATTACGTAATATTTATATTTTGTCGATGCTGTATTATTGTGTATACAACTATATATTATAAATTATAATAACAATAATATGTGGAGTGTCTAGTAATCAAACACGAATCTACAAACAATACATCTTAATGATTCGGTGTACAATAATAAAATATGGGTAACAATAATCGTTGGCGAGAAAAACGCGTCTTACGGCGTTTTAACAACGGCATAATTTTTTCTGAAAAAAACTTTCGTCGTCTTACGCTCGGCGAGGATATCCGTTCGAGTGGAGAAAGCTTTCTTCGGTCCTCGGCGACTGGCAGAGCGTTCGCCGAATCGAATGATTTACACTTACGCGAGTAGAACGTTATACGATGTAAAATCATCGCGCCGTGTGTCACCGAATAATATTATTGCGACGGCGAGAAAAACAAAATCGAAACGAAACGAAACGAAATTTCTGCTGACGGTGGTTGCGAGGGCGGTCCAAACGAACGAAAGTCCCACCGACCGACACGATCATCTGTAACACGATTGATGAAACCTTCGTCCGTCCGTGACGCACTCGAGATGTGTGTGTCGCCGTGCGCGATGGCAACACGACGTAGGTACCCGCGTGATCGACGGAGAGATGATCTGTTACGTATTTTTTTTTCGTCGACTTCCGCCGCACAGAGAGGAAAGAAAAACGATTCGGATTTAAAAAAAAAAAAAAAAAAAAAAAAAAAAAAAAACTGTACAGACTTTGACGACGATAAAATTTAAAAAACGGAAAAAATCGAAATCGAACAAGAGACGATATTATAATAGAATAGAATATTTCGACGGATTTCGCGAGATACGGTCGCCGCCGCCGCCGCCGCCGCCGCCGCCGGTCGAGCGGTTCGGCGCGTAATATCGTGTGCGCGTGCCCAGTGTCCATACACGTACTGAACTCGTACCTATCCATTCATTGAACGACTCACGCTAACACACTCGCTCGCTCACTTACGACGCTCTCACACATTCACACACACACACACACACATTCACGCACGTTCACTCACACACACGGCTATGGGTACGCGATTCCTGGCCGGTTTGGTTGACCGTTTATAGTCCGTTTCTACTACTACTACTACTACTACTACTACTACCATATTAAACTGCCACTACCACAACTATAATTACTAATATTACTAGTACTACGACTACTACTACGACTTATACTACTACGACTTATACTACTACTACTACCAGTACTACTATTACTGTACTAGTACTAACGCTGCTATTACTACCACTAAAATAACCCCGGTGAGGTTGAGGTCGTGCAAACGCGTCGCAGACTTTAATATTGTGACCACTCGGGTAGGTACTATTATTATGCCCAGCCGGATATACCGCGGGGAAACCGCGAGCAGCAACCGGTATTGCGAGCGTGTGCGTGATGTCGGTCGTGTCCGAAAACGGCATGAAAACAACCGCGGGTATACCGGAAATACCGGTAAGGTTTTCCGCGAGACAATGCTACGTGACGGGCGGAATACGCGGCGCTTCTTCCTTTTCGCGCGCCCGTCTCGAGGCCGCGGCTTGCAATCCGCGCTCTGTTCCGATACGAATAATTCCAAAACGACGCGTGACACGATAAATCGATGCACTGTTTTTGTAACGACGATGACGATCGAATACGGCCGACGGAAGTAATATTATTATTATTATTATTATTATTATTATTATTATACTGTCTTCGTGAGTGCGAAATGTACCTACTTCTGCCATAGAGCTGTGCGTAGCCTACCTACTGTTGTACACTGGGTAGTGATTCCTAAATCCTAAACCGTGCTCGACCCTTTTTTTCTTCGACAATGCAGTAATTCAAAGTCTGATTTTTAGAATTCTTAAAATTTATTCATAAAGGTAATATCATACGAATTATTGTGATTTTTTTGTTCTATACTTGAGTAGCGGTCTTTTGGCGTCAATATTTTCTATATTTCAAATTAGAACCCTTATTTTCAACTTTAAATTATTCGACGAACATTTTTTTTCGAGAGAGTAATTTTTGATTTATTTAACAAGTTGTTTGATGGAAAAATTATTCATTTCAATTTTTAATATGGTACATAAAATCTTTCAAGAAAATTATACAACAAATAATTTACAGTAAAAAAGAGAGGTTATCATATGAAAATTCAATGTTTGTATCATCACAGCGCACTTGGTTAATGATTTGAAAATATGGTCTTTAAAGCGAACAAAGAATGTATCACTCTGCATACGTCTTTAAAACGTGTCAAATCATTTTTACACCATCGTATGATCAAATTTTTTTTACATGTTTGAACCTTGAGATCAAGTGGGTTATACTACTTCAATGCATGTGCTACGTTAAAAGTATTTAGGTTTCATTCATATTCTTTAGAATTTTAGATGCACTATCATAACGCATATTATTGTATATTAATAGTATTTTTATAGTATTAATAGTAATTCCGTTATAAATTGGAAATAAAAATGAAATAAAATGTTTCTATTTTATCTGATTTAAAAAATAAATAAATTGTTAGAAGACGCTTATTTTTAGTAAAACTTAAGTATACGGTTATTGGGCAATCTTTAAATAGTCATACATAGTATGTACTGTGTAGTTTGGTTTTCGTAGCCTACTACTTCAATTTATTTTTATTATATAATAATAAACGACTTTAACATAATATTATCTCTATTGATTTGTTTAAGTGTTTAACTCACTGCGAAAGGGAAACATAAATAATATAAATTTTTTTAATAATACACACCACTAGTATAAATTATCATGTAACTCGAAACTTCAAAATACATATTTTAAAATACTAATTAGTAATTATGTTAATCAATTAGGTATACAAAAACACTCTAAACATTTTTATTTATATCAGTCCAATTTAATGTATACCCATTAAACTCAACTATAAGCATAAAACTAATAAAAAAAAAAAAATGTTAATTTATTATGATATAATCAGTATGAGATATAAGTAACTTTTTTCTTTTATTTTAAGAGTGAACAGTGTGTTCGTACGTTTTGATTAATTTATGAACTGAGAATTATTAATGGATCTGCTAGTATCAAACTATTTTCGTTTTTTTATGAACCTGACAAATAATGAATAGAACAGAGTTTAACTTTGAAAGTTGTTTTATTATTCACTAGGTACTAAATAACGTATTTGATTAAATGACCATGTATAAATTTACTTTTCTTGTGGTACCAATAGCATAAAATCAGTGGACTTGTTGAAACTTGTAATTATGATTTATTGTTATAAATTGGCCGCGTTTCAAATGAAAATTTTACAAACAGTGTACCTATGTATATTTATTATTATTACTAAATAAATGAAAATCTTGAATTTCGGTATAAATTATTTAATATTCCTACAGAATAGATATTAACAATACCACAGATTTTGAACAAATTTAAATGTATTCCTAACATTGTATATTATTAATTGATTTATGAAACGTAAACGGGTTATAACAATTATTTTATTATTTTCATGCTGATTATTATATCATTTACGTTGTTTTATTACAACACTAATGGGTATTTAAACAATTAATCCAAAAATAAAATTATAGTTTGATGTATGCAATAATTGTTGGCAATATATCAATTACCATGATTTAATATTCGTATACAAACATACATGTGTTTTGCACCAACATTAATAATATCTAGCCTAGGGTGACCATTTTTTATAAAATAAAAACGGAACAAACTAATTTTATTAATATGGTAATTTTTTATTCTTTCTAATTACATTTTCGTTACAATTTTTTAAAATAATAATTATAACATCTTGCTCTTTTTAAAATTATTTTATATTTTTTTAATACATTGATATTTTTTATACAAACATTATTTAATAACATGGAAATAACGGAATTCAAACAATACAATCTTTTAAAAACAG